GAGTATTGATGAAATTGTTAGCCTGGCCATATCTAATACGTTTACGGATTACGGTCGATCAAAGCTGATTGTAAAGCCCTAGATGAATTATTATCACTGTCGCGTCCTTCTTGATTGATCTAGCTTCCGATCTGAGTATAAAACTCTCTCTGACGGTTCTCTAATCTGGACATTGAACTGAAAGCTTAATTTTCATGCACCTTGTTTTGTCGGCGCAGTATTTAGTTTCCGTTGCTTCCTAGCCATCTGTGTATATGTACTCTGCGAGTTGTATATAAGACCACTGTTCTAAAAAAAATCTGAACATTGGACTGAAAGCTTATATGAAAGTAAATATATGATACCTCAAATGCGACTACTGGTTTTTGTTTAGTTGGTACTTGGTACTTGGTAGTCGTTCCTTGTATTCAGGTGGCATCAGCAAGGGCAATTTGGTTATTCGTGAGACTCATTAACCAGTGAGTATCGTTTATGCTTGTTGAACTGTAACATCAAATTTAGCTTTTGGTTTCCGGATTTCCATAATGTCTACGCGCCAGAGTTTCTAGCACCCGGTTCAACTTGTATTTGAGAAACTTGTGTGGCCCTTCATTTCACACTTAGCATTGTGACATTTCAGGATATTTACAGAGTAAATGCTTCTTTTTCTATTTGCAGCATATGTTTTATGTTTCAGCGATCCGCGATCCATTTTAGATAGTAATCATTTTATCTCAGGGTCTTCCCTGGATTTATTTCATTGGCCCTTGTAGTAATCTTGTTTGGAACATAATTCGAGATTAAACTTCCTTGTTTCAGGAAAACAAAAGGATGGAATTGAAATCTGATGCACCGCGGAAAAGCGAGTTACTTGCCCTGAGCAAATATAACGTTAATCATAAAGATAAACCAATTACAGTAAGAAATGATTATCCGATGCCCCCTGTCCCTTGTTTTGAACTTACTGAGGATTTTGATTTGGAAAAGGTTGAGGAGGTATGATAAGTATCCATCTGTGTGATATTCCTCTCCCCTTATTTTGTTTCTTTCCCAGTGTTGACTCCTGACATTCTTTCTTTCAGTTAATGCTAGAAAGGGATATTAAGATCGCCAAGTCCATGGCAAACGACATAATCATCCCAGACCCTGCTCCAAAGGTTTGTGTTACCTTCATTTACATAATTTGATTGATGACTCATCCCATTACATTAGTTATTTTGTTTAACCTGGTAATATTATAAGGTACTTAAGTCTACTGAAACAATATGTTTGTTGTTGTCATATATGAACCTTGGATAGGAACATGTGGATTCACATGCCTGAACCATGCTATCTTTAGATCCCCTTACTTTTTCTTCCCTCCTTGTTGGTGCCTCATGTTTGGTTTTATCTTCGGCGTACACCAACTTGCTTGTGTTACAAGGTTTTGTTGTTTCAATTGTTGTTGTCAGCACCTCCATATACCAAAAGACAGTTTATTTTGTTGTGCTTTTAGTTGGATAACTGATGCCTTTCACCTTTTTCAATTGTGACGGACTCATCTAGTTTGTGGGTGATGCCTTCTTGGACATATATGCCGAATTGGAGCACATCCTTGTAAAGGATAGTGTCCAGTGCTTCCTCCGATTTTTCGTGAACTGTGAAGGCCGGGGCATATCATCTTATCTTACCATCACCGCACAAACCTTAACCTTCATTGTCAGTTTCAACGCCCTGCGATGTGCAAAAGTCGTATTGGAGGGCATGGCACCTGAGCTCTATGGGATGCACGCCAATCCCAACTGCATAAATAAATATGGATACTTCGTGCTCCACGAAGCTGCTGAAAGGTTCTCTGTTGACATGATCAAGCTGCTTTTACGCCATGGTGCATCACCCAATGTGCGCACTATTGGCAATGATGTCATTGAGAATCTACTCCCGCTCCATGTCGCAATTGAGAATACTTGCCTGCATAAGTATCTTGAGGACAATCTGGAGGACAATCTTTCTCGCAGCCAGAATCATCTGGATTATATCTACAAGCTTATTCATCTGCTATGTCTACCTGAAATGGTCTGTTTCACTTCCCTCCCTATACGAATTACTACTTTTGCAGCATGACGTAAAGAGTAACTATGGTCATACCATAGACCCCTGAAAGGTTATAATGAAATTAGTGATACTAAGTCAGGGCACCCTTTCATCTCAACTTGTAAAGTTTTCAGTTGTTAATCCTTTTTGTCTTACTTCATGTGCAGTGTATGTTCTTATAGTAAAGGATAAAACTTCATCAATAAAATATAAAAAAATGTTGCTAGTAATTAATGTTATTTTATTTGCCTTGGAGATTGTCCCTAATCCATATTTACTTTGATTGGAGGAAAAACAGTGATATATAGAAAGATTTTTCAACATTACTTGCTTGCATATGAATGCTAAATGGACTTATATTTTTGTTCCTTATTGTTTTACAGAAGATCTTCTTGGACACAACTAGACTGCTTGCAGAGGAAACAAATAATTTACATTGAGGATGGAAAAATTATCCAGTCTGCTGTTCTACTACTGGCTGCTCAAGAGCAGATCCGTGGAGGCAGTTCTTCCAAGATAAATGGCAGTAGTAAGAAAAATGGGTTTGACCTTATCAGTAACTGTATAATGAGGCTTTCATTTTCCTTGAGATGGGAGAAAGGTTCACATGGAATGGCACCAGAGCTTCTGGAGGAAAGGAAGACACTTACTGATTGCGCATGGCTGCTTGTTGATGTAATTTCCCATGCCGGTGAAGATCTTTCTGCATACATTCAAACACATTCTGAGGTAAGCGTTTTTGGTATGTTGTGGCCGAAGTGCCTCGGATGCCCTTTACTTAATATTTATATTTTTACTGTTGTCAGTTATGTTGTTTAACAAAACACATGCCCTAGTCTTTCTTTTCGTGGAAGCACATTCTGATACTATGTGTGAGAATGCTTTAGTTTGGAGTAAATAGCATAAAACTACTACTTTACAGGCTAGGGTTCCGAAAAACTACCGAATTTATTTTTTTCACTGATAACTACCAACTGAGGGGTTGGCTGTTTCAAAAAACCCCAAATCCTCTTTGTTAAAAAATTAAACATGTTTATGACAGATCGGGCCCGCTGCTAAACGCACCGTTTGGTTGACCGTTTGATTGACCGTTAACTGACATGTGGGGGCCACATGCCAGTGTCTGAAAAAGCAATCGGGTCCCTGCAAATTTTCAAAAAAAGCAATCAGGTCCCTAGAAGTTTTCAAAAAAAGCAATCAGGTCCTTCGGCGCACCCGCCATGGCAGCGCTGCCACCTCCTCTGGGCCGACGCCGTGCACCGCCTGTGGCCGGCTAGCCGCGCCCGAAGTGGCCGGATCCACGCCGCCTCTCGCCTGTGGCCGCCGCCACGCCGTCCCTCGCCTGTGGTCGCCGCCCCTCGCCTCTGGTCACCGCCACGCTCTGCCTCGCCTGCGGCGACCCCCAGGTGGCTCCCCATGACGGGCGGCAGCACGGACCCGAGCGGAGACCCATGGCTGGCGGCGCCCCAAGCGGCTCCCCATGGCGCGCGGCGGTGTGGCGACCTGAGGGAAGGGAGCGGGTCGCATGAGGTGGGCGCATGAGGGAAGGGAGCGGGTCGCCGGCGAGGTGGGGGCGTGAGGGGAGGGAGCGGGTCACCGGCTGGGTGGGCGCGACAGGGGAGGGGAGAGGGTCACCGGAGGCCTGGGCATGCGAGGGAAGGGGACATGGTCGCTGGTCAGGTTGAAGATAAGAGAGAGAGTACAGGAGGAAGAGGAGAGAAGGAAAGAGAAGCTGACATGTGGGCCCCACATGTCAGTTAACGGTCAAACTAGAGCTTTGTTTAGGTGCGGGTCCAACCTGTCATAATCACGATCAATAGATAAACACTTGGCAATTTGGGCTTTTTGAAACAGCCGACCTCTGATTTGGTAGTTATCTGAGAAAAATTAAAAACCAGTAGTTTTTTGGAACCCTAGCCTGTAAAGTAGTAGTTTTATGCTAGTTACTCTTTAGTTTGTGAACATTTTTTCAAGAAGCGTATTTGTTTTCTCTTGCTCGATGCTATATATCAATTTAACATGTTCTCTATTACTTTTATCTCTAAATTATGTTGTTGTTAATTGAAAAAATCTCAAACCCAAGATGCATGAATAGCTGAGTCTTGCTCTAAGGTTTACCCTGTCATATAATGCAATGAGATTCAAACCCCTCTTATTTCTAAACACTCGGGAAAGGTGATGGCACAGATAATGAAACAAGAGAAAATAACTGATGGGAGTAAAGCCATTACTCATCCACATCAAATCCCCTGTTATTAGTTATCCATATACTCATCCACATCAAATCCCCTGTCTGGTTACTTCTTTCCTTTTATCTTCATCATTGAACAGACAAACAAACTGTAAGAACACCTTTTGTGCTTTATCTTCCTAGACATTGCTTGATATTATTATATTGCAAAGGAGATTGCTATACGAGTTCATGATAGATACAATTATTGATGATTTCTGCATTGAATTCACACACTACAACTGGAAGGAGCATGTTAGTTCCTTTTCCAGTACCACATGCATTTTTGTCATGGAATTGCGAATCTTACAATGAATACTTAATGCATGCATAAATAGTGAAAACATTGGTGACAGAAACACTCGATCTCCGTATTAGTATTATCTGACATGAGTATAGTGTATTTTCTTGGCTTCACTTATGTTTATTTTCTGGTTTTATCACTGCATTGTATCATTTTTAGCAGCCATATCAACATCAAGTGTTTGGTTAATGCTATTGCATGGTGCATGAATACAGAACATGTGCTTGTGTCATTTCTCTTTGTTATTTTCTGGACGCATGTCAGATAAATTGGCTAAAATGGGCATGTCCACATTCTTGTGGTGGCAGCTGTTTGGCATGATTCCCAGCTCAAAAAATTCTACGTGCTGGAGCTGGCGGTATATATTAAGGGCGTTGACATGAGCCTTCTTTATTCATGTTAGACTGAAAATTTATGCTTAAGGTACTTTATTTAGCCTAGAAACTCCAGGTCCTCCAAGAAACAGGGAGTTGGAGTTATTACAGTAACTTGTCTGTGGCCCCAGAGGAAAGTTCAACAAACAATTCCATATACTTATGGTGTATGCAATTCATGAGTAACCTCTTTAAGTTTGTCTGAACTTCATTTGGGTCATATAGCCTGAAGAAATTGACACCTTTCTCTTTGGGAAACGAAAACAAAACAATTAAAGTGATTTGAAATAGTTGGAATTTGAATAACTGTGATGTATAGTTAAATATACAGAAGTGTGATGCAGTTCTTGACTCTTACCTTTGAAGCGTCTAGATCATAACGTGTAGTTAAATACACAGAACTTGTGGAAGCAAACAGATTTTGCTTTAAGCTTAGACAATATACATTAATCTAGATGAATCTGAATATGTACATTATGTAGTTTATAAAACCTAGTGAACTGAATGCGATAACTCTTTTTGCACATTTATTGCCTTCCAACTCATATTGCACAATTGCAGTTTTCTCCTCCAAACAATTCTTTCCATCATCTCGCTGCTTACAATTGGTTATATAGCTGCTACATTGTATATACAGTAGATCTATGTTAGCGATATATTGCCTTATACAGCAACTTGTATGTCATGTAGGTGCCCCATGTGGATGTCTTTCAACATGTTTCATCTATCCTCAAGGAGTATGGATTTTGCCCTACTGGAGATCCCATGGACACTGTAAACCTGTACTACTCTTTGTATTGCTTCACACAATAATTTTCTATGTGAATAAATGGTTATTTTGCTGATTATTTTATTTTGTCTTCCACTTCTTGAAGCCAGCCTTATGAGTGCAGAAAGTCAAACGGAGAGTCATGCAAAGGTGTGTCAGGTTCAAGTGATTCTTTTTACATTTAACAAACTGAGTCTTAATCTCTCCCCTTCTTTTTAAAATGGATAATAGGGCTTAAAAATGCAAACACGGCAGTTACGGAATTGGCCAATCTGGATGCTGCAGAGGAAAAGGTAAAGATAATCAAATCTGGGGTTGATCTAGTTTTGGATAGACTGATGGTATTCAGTAATTGAGTAATGATATTGTTGCACCAAAAAGAAGCAAAGCTATAAGAATATCTGCCCTTTTCTTGTTCTTTTTATTTTATTTTACATCAACTTTTTTTAAGAATATGTAAAGAAGTAAAAATTTCCCAAATTGACAAATCCCACAAACGCTTTTAGAATCATAATATAATCTTCGTTTTAAGCCGTGTTTTTGTGAGTTCTGACTGTACTCATCTTGCCCTAATCTTGAGTTCAGGTCACAACCGTTGGAAATGACAACCTCTCCCTTATGGCACGGCAGCACACCAAAAAAACACAGGTATACCTTAATACCGATTTTAGTGCACCAGTACCAAGCAGCTTTGCCTACACCTTGTGGCAGCAAAGTGATGGTTTTAGTGCTATAAATTGTAGTAGCGAATTCAGCCGTATTTATAGAGTACAAGCATTCGTTTTCTGATGGACTTTGGCTACTGAACCTGGACAGATTTAAGCAGCTTCTATTGCCTTATTAAATGAGCTACAAAACATCTAAATTCTAGCCTAGAATACCTAGTGTGTTTTCACACACATGTATAGAAACTGCATGTATAGAAATTAAATTCTAGCTTTGAGTTGGCTCTAAATACATATCACCTATTGCAATGCCACGGCATTCCAACTATGGTTCATCTCTGCCATCCTAATGTGTTGACCATCAGGGTTTTTTTTACCAAAGAAAAGGGGTAAATGCAATAAAAAGTAGTCTTAATTAGCTTAATAAAATAGTTGAACTGTGTAGGTTCCAAGTAACATCAACATTGGGACTTCACCAAGGGGGCTTGCACATTTTTGTTATTTCCAACACCTTGGTGTTCTTGAATGATCTGTTGCATCTGAAATTTATTTGGTGCCTGTTAGAAAGATTCTGATAGAAGACGCAGTGTAATATGATTGTTGGAGCCAATAACAAAAGCATGCTTCAGTTGCGAGTTTGTGCCATGCATTGTGCTGGTTCAACAGCTTTTTATGTTGCTTAAGCATGCTACTTAATTACTACACTGCAGTAACTCATTCATATCTAATGAAACACCAATGTTGTGTATTGGTCAACGTAATACATCTCAAGCGAGAGGTGCCTATTTGATGGAAAGCTACAATCCCCAGTATGGATGTTTCTACTTATTTTTTATGATGTACCTCTAATGAACTATGTGACAGGCTGTGAGAAAGAAAGCAGGCGGAGGATGGGATCCCACATATACAAAGAGAAGTTTCTTCCCATACTGGAGATCAGTGTTACAAGATCAGGTTCCTTTGAAGGTGTATCCAGCCTATGCAAGCTCAGATCCTAGTCCAAATCATAAACTTGGTCCAATGCGAAGGACCTCGCCATTTACAAGCAACAATCAACCCAGAAGGTGCTTTGTCACTGCTGCTATTGGTGCATTCAGGCTCTTGAAGGTGCTAAAATAGAGTAGAAAGGTATGTCATGAGTTTCGTCTCCCTGTCCCAAATTTTCTGAACATGCCCCACATGATTTATAGTATATGTTTTTTGTTTTCTTAGGGAATTCTCAACCCTGGGAAATATTTATGCAACAAATTTGATCCTATGGATATGGTAGTATTAGTCAACCAAACAACCAACAATTGTTAATGCAGTGGCTTCTATTGATGCTCACCATGGTGCTGTTCCATTAACTACCATGTTAAAGCTTGCATTCAGAATGAGCGGCTTCTATTGATGCTCACCGACATGGAGTTTTTATTTTGACGATCATTTTGTTACATGGAGTTGAGTAGTGCTTGTTCAATCACCAGCCAAAGGAAAGCTGGTGATCTCTGGATTGAGTGGGGAAAATGACTGGCCTGAACTAACTTTCCGGCTTATGACGCCAAACAATGCATCAGAATTTCATTTCCTTTTTGTCCACATCATTTTCATTTTCTACCAAAGTGATTCTGATTTTGTTGATTTCTTTCCGTTCTGGTGTACTTTGCAGGAGGCTCAACTTCTTTGCGATAATTGGGCTCCTCTCCACGGCGTCATTCGGAATGATGCTTGACTTGATAGCCGCTGAGCATCACTTTCCTATGTCCCTAAGCAGTATTATTATATGTAGTTTTGTAAGGAGCGGCGTGGCCACCATGAAGGTATAAGTTGGGTAGATGCAAGTGGCGCCATGGAGTATCCTATGAATGGTGTGGTTGGCTGCACCGGCGCGGCGCTAGCGTTCAAGACAAGGAAGACACAGGTGAGACAGGACGATACTGACGGTGAGACCGGACAATTTCGCCCTAAAAAAAGGGCGAAGTGGGATTTTACCAGTTTAGCTCTACCACATGGCAATAGAAAAGTAATACTGTAATGCAGGTAGAGAAATGGAAGAATGCAGGCATAAATCACAAGCTTACATTGCACAGTACTAGGATGTCTTGATGTAATTTATACTAGTATTACTCTTACACAGCTAATTCGAAAACATACTGTAAACCATAGGTTATTACTGAATGAAAGATCGTGGATGTCGCCTAGAGGGAGGGGGGAGGGGGTGAATAGGCGCTTTAAAATGATTAGGGTTTAGGCTTGAAGAAATGTGGAATAAAACTAGCATTTAATTTATCAAGCACAAAACCTAAAACGTCTAGGCTCACCTATGTGCACCACCAACTTATGCTAAGCAAGATAGACAACTAAGTAATAGCAAGATATACGACATGAAACAATATGGCTATCACAAAGTAAAGTGCGTAAGTAAAGGGCTCGGGTAAGAGATAACCGAGGCACGCGAAGACGACGATGTATCCCGAAGTTCACACCCTTGCGGGTACTAATCTCCATTTGGAGCGATGCGGAGGCACAATGCTCCCCAAGAAGCCACTAGGGCCATCGTAATGTCCTCACGCCCTCGCACAATGCAAGATGCCTTGATTCCACTAAGGGACCCTTGAGGGCGGTCATCGAACCCGTACACTTTGACAACCCTTGGGGGCGGTCATCGGAACCCGTCAAATTGCTCGGGGCGATCTCCACAACCAAATTGGAGACCCCGACGCTTGCCCGCAGTTTTACACCACAATGATTGAGCTTCAAACACCACCGACCGTCTAGGGCGCCCAAGCACCCAAGAGGAACAAGTTCAAGGGCACCATCACCCAAGAGTAATAAGCTTCTCAACTTGTAACTTCCACGTACCACCATGAAGAACTCAAACTGATGCACCAAATGCAATGGCAAGGGCACATAGAGTGCCCAAGTTCCTCACTCTCAAATCCCACCAAAGCAATGAAAGTTGTGGAGGAAAATGAGATGAAGAACAAGAAGGAGAACACCAAGAACGTCTAGATCCAAGGGGTTTCCCTCACATAGAGGAGAAAGTGATTGGGTGGAAATGTGGATCTAGATCTCCTCTCTCCCCCCCCTCCCAAAACTAGCAAGAATCCATGGAGGGATTGAGAGATAGCAAGCTCGAAGAAGATCAACAATGGGGGAAGAACTCGAGCTAAAGGGATGAGGTTCAATGGGGAAGAAGACCCCCTTTTATAGGCGGGGAAAAATCCAACCGTTATCACCATTCTCAGCCCGCAGCGGGCGGTACAACCGCTTAAGGGAGCGGTACTATTGCTTGCGCTGACGGGCAGTACTGCTACTTGGCCCAGTGGTACTACCGCTGGGACCGCGCTCAGCAGCAAACACGAGCACTGGGAGAGAGACAGGAGAGAACCCTCGAGCGGCACTAGCAGCGGAGGTAGGTGCGGTACTACCGCTAACAAGCGGTACTACCGCTCCTACTACTGTTGAACCCGACACGAGAACTGCACATTCTGAGTCGTGGCGGTACTAAAGCGGCACTACCGCTTGAGGCTCTTGGCGGTACTACCATTACTGCAGCGGTACTACCGCCAGTGGCCATCAGCGGTACTGCCGCTCCAAGCCACGGTACTACCGCTGGCTACATCCAATGCCACATCCAAGCAAAATAGATGCTCCAAAACCAGAATTGCCACAACTTCTGCAAATGATCTCCGAATTGAGCAAACTCAAGCTTGTTGGATAGAAGACGGCGAGTAGCATCCAACAGGGTGTGGTTATAGTAAGAAGAGGCAGGGGGAGGTATGCCTAAGATATACAAGAGTGAAACCTCCAATAGAGACGAACTAGCATAACCTCCAACATTGAAAACATCATAGAAGATGCATGTGAACTCCGTTTTCGATGAACTCGAGCTTGTCATGAAGATGACCATAAGCTCTAAAACTCACAAAGAGAAACACCAAACAAGAACCAAGAAAGATGATGCGAGGATGCAATGGTTTGAGCTCTCTACAAATGATAGGATCAAGCTACCAACTTGAGAGTCCCCCTTGATAGTACGACAATCGATCCTATAACCCGGTCTCCCAACTACCACCATGAGACCGATAAAATAGAAAACCTATCAAGGGCAAACCTTTGCCTTGCGCATGATCCACTTGAGCTAGATGGTGACGATCTTGTCCTCCTCAAGATGGACCACATTTCTTGATTGCGTTGGGCCGATCGATGAAGACTAGTTGATTGCTCCCCCATACTCGACTATGGGTGAGCCACTCTTTGGCACATCTTCGCAAGTCCATTGTCACCACAATGGATGGCAGGCTTCAAGCACTTGATCTCTTCGTGATGCTCCACTTGACCTTGCACACCACAATCTTGATGACGATCACCACTTGATGTCATCCTCTCCATGGGTTGTATGATATCTTCCTCTTGACGCAAGCCCATGGAAACATACCTAACCCCACATAGAACTCTCACGTAGACCATCGGTTAGTACACAAAGCGTAATGGGCAATGCTTACCATACTATGGGATCACTTGATCCCCCTTGGTACATCTTCTACTCTTTGTGTGTTAATCAACTTAGATCACTCTCTGTACTTAGTCTTGATCAACCTTAAATCTTTCCAACTCTCTTCATTTGAATTATGTCTTGAAGGTAAACATGAATGATCTCACAATCTTCTTCTTCAAGACATGATTGCAACAAGCTCAACACTCACATGACCAATCTTTGGATAATTCCTTAATAGCACCTTGATCAACTCATAAACTCCTTGAAACCAGCACATGGACTTCAAGAAATGCCTATGGACAAATCCTTCAAATATAACTCAATGCAACCATTAGTCCATAGAGAATGTCATCAATTACCAAGACCACACATGGGGGCACCACATGTTCTTTCACTGAAGCTACCAGCTAAGAGTAATCGTTGGCGGATACTTTACCATCAGTGCACAACATCATCTGCTCAGACTAACTACAAAAAACGTTAGCTGGCGAGTAGGGTATGGACAATAGGGAGTTAACTAACAAGAAGCACTGAAAATCAATGAACTGAAAAACTACTCCCTCCAATCCATAATAAGGCTATGTTTGGAGTCCCTCCTCTCCCGGAGCAGTTGAAAATTGCGGTGTAGGGAAACAAGTGCTTCACATAGTTGAAAATCGCGGTGCAGGGAAACAAGTGCTTCACACAGTTGAAAATTGTGGTGCAGGGAAACAAGTGCTTCGCAGATCCTGGAATTTCATGGAGCTGGTGGATTGTCGAATAGGCTCTTAAGAGCATCTCCAATAGATAATGAAAATTTGGACTTGTGAAACTAGAGATGTAAAATTTACATCACCAGAAAGTGCATTTTCCATTTGATCGTCTCCATTTTACTACCAGGAACAAAGTTGGTGGTTCACATTACCCCCTGATCTATTTTCCTGCTCTTTTCACCCCCTAAACAATTCCAAACCGGACAAAAGACCCCCTTGGGTGGGTTGTTTCAACTTGCAGCTGATGTGGTGCTAGTCAATGGTGGTTTTGACCTGCGGATGTGTTGGAAATATGCCCTAGAGGCAATAATAAAATGTTTATTATTTTATTTCCTTGTTAATGATAATTGTCTATTATTCATGCTATAATTGTATTGACCAGAAACTGCAATACATGTGTGAATACATAGACCACAACATGTCCCTAGTGAGCCTCTAGTTGACTAGCTCGTTGATCAACAGATGGTCATGGTTTCCTGACCATGGACATTGGATGTCATTGATAACGGGATCACATCATTAGGAGAACGATGTGATGGACAAGACCCAATCCTAAGCCTAGCACAAGATCCTGTAGTTCGTATGCTAAAGCTTTTCTAAATGTCAAGTATATTTTCCTTAGACCATGAGATTGTGCAACTCCCGGATACCGTAGGAATGCTTTGGGTGTACCAAACGTCACAATGTAACTGGGTGGCTATAAAGGTGCACTACGGGTATCTCCGAAAGTGTCTATTGGGTTGGCACGAATCGAGACTGGGATTTGTCACTCCGTGTGACGGAGAGGTATCTCTGGGCCCACTCGGTAGGACATCATCATAATGTGCACAATGTGATCAAGGAGTTGATCACGGGATGATGTGTTACGGAACGTGTAAAGAGACTTG